GAGTATTAGATAATGCACACAGAAAATACAACAGAACTGCATCCATGTAAATGATGGCTGCAGTGAGTAGGAACACCCAATCCAGCTCAAAACAATTACAACTGTTGATGCCCTTTGCTCTATTTTTATCTTACAGACTGACATTCATCTTTTCTCCCCATTCTGAGCAAATCTCTTCAAGATCTGCAGATGAAACAGTCTGGCCACTAAAGGCACAGACTCCACAAGCACTGACACGTATGGGGCTCTACCTAAACTGACGTAAACTGGACCACAGAACTAACGACACTAATTAAGGAAGCAAGAGCAATTTTTATGCACTTGAGCAATAACACTAAACTTTGCAAGTCTGAATCACAGAATGGTTTGGGTTGGAAGTGACCTTAAAGATCATCCAGTTCCAACCCCCCTGCCATCAGCAGGGACACCTTCCACTAGACCAGGTTGCTCAAAGCCTCATCCAGCCTGGCCTGGAACACTTCCAGGGAGGGGGCATCCACAAGGAATCAGGTAAGAAAAGTTTAGTTTTCAGTTTTTCACCTTCTCTCCATTCATGTTTAAAAGAGGTAAGTTAAATTTCCCTCCTGTACCATGATTTAGTGTTTACACTGACACAGATATATACGTTTCATAAATTCATAACAGAAATTTCTCATAGGAAATAACTCTAGTTCTTCTTCATTCCTCCCCTTTCATACTCAGCCCTTCGGCCAAGTGTACCCCACAGGCTTCAGGACACTGTACATTCTATATGAGATTAGTCCCACCAAGAGCAAGAATACTGAAGAAGCTTGCCAACCAGTAGTGACAGATCTCTTTTAAATCACTGGCAACATCAGCCTTAACACTGTCATGAAGCTGACCTCCACCCAGAGGCCTGCTGTCTCCAGTGGGACTGTGAATGGGTGGAAAAATCCAGACCTAGAGATCACTATAGGATTTTTCTTCCTGCTTGCTCCTGTGACCACTTTCTGTGAACTACAAAGCCATTCTGTGTGCCATAAATGTAAGACAATAAATACCTACATACCCAGCATCTTCTGTTTTGAAATATGTTCAATCACCCATCTCGGCACCCGTTTTGCCTGGTCATAAGACAGTGCATGATTTGTGTAACATCTGGTCTCTGTTCCAGCTTCAGGAAATCCATATTTTTCCAGCAGAGACTCTTCTACTGGTTCTAAGGAAAAAAATAAAACAGAAAGCAATCCAAGGATGAAATGTCATCAGAAACAAGTGAAGTGAAACTTTCACAAGTGAAGTGAAACTACCGCAGGCAGTAAGAAAAGCACCTCAGTGGATGTAAACATACTGTACAGGGAACTACTTGAGGTTACTGCCACAATTATGACCTAAAAAAAATATACAGAAAGCTATCCAGTGAAACTCCCTTCTACCAAAAAAGTTGTGCTTTTCATCGAGCCCTCACATGAGGATCTCGGCTCTTGAACTAACTCATCCACTATAATACCTACACACATCTACCCAGCAATAGCTCCGGGCTGGTCTTCAGAAGAGAAGCTATCAGATATTTAGGGAAAATCAACAAGGAGTTACAGACACAGGAGATCAACACACACATTTCTCTCTTCAGAGCTGGAAATTGCACTCCTCCTCACAAACCAAGATGTACAAGTTGAGCACAAGTGTAAGTCCTGGCCTCACCAGGAAAGCTGAATGAATGAAAGATTGAGAGTTGAGATTTTTTTGTTTTGCAAGTAACATTTTTCTCTCATGGACAAATATTTACATTCACCTGAGTAACTTCTTCATCCTACAGCCATCTGCTCGACAGCAACTCACATTTTTAGAGCCTCCCTTCGTGTACTTTCCGATGCTCGGATACTTTTAAAGCCTTCATGCTGCAGAGAAAACCATTCATCCCCACCAGGCCCTGGTACCTGCCACCAGCCCCCTCCCCACACCTCGCAGCCCCACCAGCCCCCATGGCGAGTGGGCCAGGGCCTTCCCAAGGGAACAGCCACCACCCGTGCTGGCATTGTCTCCCCGGGGAAGAAAGAGCTGAAAATTAGTGATGGCCTGACCTGAACTGTGTGTTTAGAAGTAAGGGTGGGTGGTCAGACACTGGAACAGGTTGCCCAAGGAAGTTGTGGATGCCCCCTCCCTGGAAGTGTTCAAGGCCAGGTTGGATGAGGCTTTGAGCAACCTGGTCTAGTGGAAGGTGTCCCT